ACACTTTTCCCTCCCATCTCTCCTATTTCCATTTTGTTACTCTCGGTTTCTCCAGATGCCGAGGAAGCAAATACATAGGTACCCCCCCTCAGGCTCCCTCATGGTGGCCTGGAGTGAGTCAGGCTACATGCATATGCTGGGATTTGAGAAGCTGGGAGGTATACACAGGCTACAGATGCTTCCCAAGGAAGTGCTCTATAATATGAAGTATGTTCCTTCCCAATCTCTTCGGATGAGTAGCTGGCATGCATCCCGAGGCAAGAGAATTTACAGCTAAAAGAATAAATAAAATGTGAAGATCTGCCATATAGTTGGCACTTGCAGGATTCTGGCTTCTTTGTGTCTTATCCTTTGGACCTGAATATTTCCTTTGTGGCCATAAAATAGGCTTGGACTGGGATGAACAGAGAAATCAAGCAGGCTCTGCTTTTGCTTGCATGCAGTGCTAGTGTTGGCATAATGCACTCATTTGCTTAGGAGGAGTCATATTGCTAAGTTTACATTCAGAAAACATCCCTTTTTCTCTCAGCGGAACTGAAAGAACAGCCAAGGACCAACTGGAGTAAAGTTTAATTTGACAAATTTAGGGAAAATATCTATTATTTATTCATTAGCTTAAACGGTGAATAACGGCATAGCACTAAAAGTGTGAATGACGGAAATAACCCAATGATTCTCATTTAGAGCCACAAAATCTTGATGTAGGAAGAAAGAATAGTTTGATGTGACACCAGTGTAGACAGGTAGTTCCAAACAGCTGGTGTGTATTATCTGAAATGCCATTAAAGTAAGCAGTTTTGAAAGTACTACAGACTTAAATTTTCAAATATCCCTGGATGACTTGAATACAATGCTATGGATCTGAAGTGAAATCTTCTTTCAACAGGTTTAAATCCATTGCACAGTATTTGAAGACTTGAAAAAAATAACTTTCAGGATTTTGACAGACATAATGTGAGTCCTTTTAGGCTTAGAGGTAAGTATTAATAACACAGCTGAATAAACATCTTCCTTTTAGTTTTCTGTAATTTATATATAAAAGAGAAATTTTGCAATCATTTTGTGTCTTCAGCCTGTTATCTTTGATATCCTAAATAACAAATACATGCATAATTCCAAAGACCTTTTCTGTTTCTTTTAAGATGCTTTCAGTGTAATTCATTGACTGTAAAAACAGGATCGGAATGTCTAAAGAGGGAACCTAAAGATAGAGGTTAACTGAAAAAAATTCCTTTTTAAAAAATGTAAGTTATTTTAGAATGTGAGTTGCTTCAAATGTGTGTATCAGTTGAACTGATTCAGTAATGGAATGATTTTGGATATCTTGGGTTTGCACAGTATTACAATATACATCATTCTCCTCATGCTTTGTTATGTACTGCAGACTCAGTGAGACATATCCTTACTGGAAGTCCTCTGTATAGATTAATTTTTAGACCTGCATATAAGCTCATTAATTAAAAATACGGTTTTCAGTATTGAAACAATGCTCTTTTGTTGATCCTCACAGCCCTAAGCAGACAAGCCTTCATTGA